GTGCGGGGGGATGAGGGATGGACAGACACCCCCGGGGCTGTGCGGGGTGCGGGACACGGCCGGTCCCGTGCCGCGGTGTCCCCGCAGCGCCCTCCCGCGGCCGCGCTGACGCTGCGCTCTCCCCGCAGGGCGCACCGGGCGGTACACGCTGATCGAGAAGTGGCGGGACACGGAGCGGCACCTGGCGCCGCACGAGAACCCCATCGTGTCCCTCAACAAGTGGGGACAGTACGCCAGCGACGTGCAGCTGATCCTGCGGCGCACCGGGCCCTCCCTGAGCGAGCGGCCCACGTCGGACAGCGTGGCGCGCATCCCCGAGAGGACGCTGTACCGGCAGAGCTTGCCGCCCCTGGCCAAGCTGAGGCCGCCCGGGGACAAGTCCATGAAGAGGAGGGAGCCCAAGAGGAAATCCCTCACCTTCACCGGCGGCGCCAAGGGGTTAATGGACATCTTCGGGAAGAGCAAGGAGTCTGAGTTCAAGCAAAAGGTGCTCAACAACTGTAAAACGACGGCGGACGAGTTGAAGAAGCTGATCCACCTCCAGACGGAGAAGCTGCAGTGCATCGAGAAGCAGCTGGAGTCCAACGAAGCTGAGATCCGCTACTGGGAGCAGAAGTACAACGCCAGCCTGGAAGAAGAAATCCTCAAGCTGGAGCAGAAGATCAAACGGAACGAAGTGGAGATCGAGGAGGAAGAGTTCTGGGAAAACGAGCTGCAGATCGAGCAGGAGAACGAGAAGCAGCTGAAGGAGCAGCTGCAGGAGATGAGGCAGAGGATCCTGGAGTGCGAGAACAAGCTCAAGGACTACGTGTCTCAGATCCACAACATGGAGAGTGGCCTTGAAGCAGAGAAGCTGCAGCGGGAAGTTCAAGAGTCCCAAGTGAACGAAGAAGAGGTGAAGGAAAAGATCGAGAAGGTGAAGGGTGAAATTGATATTCAGGGCCAGCAGAGTCTGAGGTTGGAAAATGGCATTAAAGCTGTAGAAAGGTCTTTGGGCCAAGCGACCAAGAAGTTACAGGTAAGACTGTGTGCTTATCCATAGCTAAAGAAAAGTCAAAGACATGACCGTGGCAAATTTCTCTCAGGCAGATTTAGAGCCCATGAAAAAAAAACAAAACACGAGAAAGTTTCCACTGTGATTTGGGGTAAAAGGAGGAAAGTGTTTCATTTTCAGATTGCATTTCAGATTTTTTTTTTTTTTAAGGGCAGACAGTTTTCATTTCACCTGTGTGTAATTTGCTCATTGAAACCATCTGAGATGAAAAACAGTAATTTACACCATTATAGCCTTTCCTGAGGCTAAGCTTATGATCCTTGCTAGGTTTGTCTGCCACCAAAAGAGATGAATTAAAAAGAACAGTCCAAAAGCAGCACCTGGATAGATGGATGTAGAGCTAAAGTAGCTGTTACGTTACAGGGCTTTTGTTTTAAAGAACAGCATCCCCCTTTTCCTGGCTGACTTGCTGGTTAAATTCAGATCTTCCAAGCTTGTTCTAAAGCTAAAGATGCACAAATCTAAAGTCCAGGAGAAAGTAAACTGAGCTCTGTATTGTGGAGTTTAGGGGGGAGAAAATAGAGAAATATTTTCTTGCAAGCTGAAATTTAGTGATTAATATTCACAGAACTGCTGATTTGAAACAGGAAAGTTGAGCAACGGTGTTTTTATAGAGTTTTCAGTAAGGAAGGAAAGAAAATTTTGATTCACTAGATTTTCTGTGATATAAGAGCAGGAAGGTGGCATTTTTTAGTGAGAATTTTCTAGTAATTTGGACTAACTCTTTCATCCCTTTCCTGTAGCCACCTGAATAATGTAATTTTCCAACCATCTGAGGTTATGATCAGTTGAGGGTCAGATGCAGCACTCTGGTCTCCCAATTTATAGAAAAAGATTTTAAGTGCAAAAAACCTCCAAACCCCCCCAAAGCAAACAAAAAAAAATATCACTCTTTTTCAGGTAAAAGATCCCAATAAAGTTTCACGATTAGATACTAAATTTAAGACCTTAAAACATACATGACATTTTAAGCTTACTTTCTGCGAAAGCTGAGAAATGTCAAGAACAAGTTATTTATGATGTTAGTTCTGCTAACCTGCCTATTTCAGTAATTTAAAAAAAATAAAACCCCCTGAGTTTCCTTCAGTGACAACTTTGTTACCATCTCATAAAACACGGAGCTGCAGAATTAACACTGTAGTAAGTAAGTAAAGACAGTTGAGAATTTTCTGTGTTCCAGTTGTAGGGTTTAATGGGCCTGAAATTAAGAGAAGAATTTTTCTGTAGAGTAGTCTTAAAATCTAGTTTCTGTTTCTCCATCCAGTTTCTCCAAAAGCTCGTAGCAAATGAATGATCTGTTCCTAGGACAGATCCACAAAACTGTTCGTCCACAGTCCTCGTGTGAGTTCACATCCGATTCCACTGACACAAGATAATTAGGGAAAAGAAGGTCAGCCCACCCTCTGTCTCTTGCCAAAGTGAAGGTGTAGCAGTACCTGCTGCATTGGAATGCCCATGGATGTGCTGCCTGGCATCAGAGTAGCCTATTCCCTCTGTGGCCAGACAACAGGAATTCCATCCTGGCTGTGGAAAGAGTACCAGTTGCAGCTCTCTGCTAATGAAGCTCAACCTGTGTGTGGAGGGGAATAAATAAGTCTAAGACTGTCGTAACCTCTCAGAGCTGTAAGTTTTGCATATCATGCCAGAAGTACAAAGCCTTGAGGAAAATCCTAAATTATCTTCTGTACCTTGAAGGGCTGGTGAACCAGCCAGGCTTTGGCCTCGTTGCACAAAACACTTGCAGAGAGAGAAAGTTCTGTCCATAAAAATTTAAGTAGAAAATGCAAAAAACAAGAAGAGAAAGCAATTACACTGCATTTAGGATCAGAGCTGTCCAAGCCGTGCTGGACACTTCAGGCAGAACTAAGATTTGGTGCCAGACTGCTGCTCAGTTGATTATTGTTTCAGAGGGCACAGTGTTACCTTTATTTGCTTACATCTGATGCACCAAAATTTTTCTCAGGTGATATGAGAAACATCTGCTAGTCATCCCAGGAGCAATATAAAAATATAATATATAAAAAAAACCAATAGTCACCTGTACTTAGGGTTGGACTCAATGATCTCAGAGGTCTTTTCCAACCTAATTGATTCTATGATTCTAGTAAGTCATAGTGACTGTTGACTCACTTTTTAAATGATGAGATTAAAAAACCTTTAAATTCTTCAGTTTGCATTTGAATTCAAAAATTGGAGGTGTTCTCATCAAAAGGAGTTGCCCAGTTGTAAGTGGAGCCTTGAAATGCTGCTTTATATGCTCAGCAGATGTTTTCTCTTTCCCGGCAGGACAGGGAACAAGAACTGGAGCAGCTGACAAAGGAGCTGCGACAGGTGAACCTGCAGCAGTTCATCCAGCAGACAGGAACGAAGGTGACGGTGCTGCCGGCAGACCCCGTGGAGGTGGAGGCCCCACATGTGGAGCTGGAGAGAGGTGCAGCCCTGGGAATGCCTTGGCTGGGAGGGAGAAGGGGTTGGCACTGCCTTTACCTGCTGCTTAATGCCAGCACTGGTCCATGAAGGGAGCGCTCTGTTAGCGAAGGCCTGAGCAAAACACTAACAAGGCACGTTGTCGGATGTTCCTTTTCGTTCCAAGGATTCAGCAGGCTATAAATAAAGAGCAGTGTGTGGATAACTTCTCCCCCACTGTGCTTGGGCATGTGTTTGTCCCATCAGCAGCCCGTTAAGCCGGTGGCTTTCAAAAGCGGCTGTGGGCACGTAAAGCTGGCACACAACATCATTGCACTTCTCACATCGCTGCTCATCTGGGTTCTTCCCCTTCTGGTGTTGTCAGAGTAGGAAAAGGAATGTGTCTGGATCTCCAGAAATCCCAGACAGCAGCCCTACGGGAATAGGAGCTAATCCAGCTGGGCTGCCAGCCATCCAGAAGCCCTGCACAGATGGCTGTTACGGCATGTGCAAATTGACTCTGCACCCAGTGAGATCAGGGCAACCTGCACGTGCCCACAGCTGGATTCACATTTTCCTGGACAGAAACACAGGATGTGTGTCAGAGCTGTGGCACAAGCACAGCTGTGTGCTTTGACAATACTCTGCTTTCAAGGGGGCTGTTTGCCTCGTCATTCTCCTTAGCTGGTTCTGTTCTCCTTTTGGAAGACTTTCCAACCAAAAGGCACTGGGAGCATAAGGGGGGGAGCTGGGGGGAAGGAACAAAAGACAACCAGGCCTTAAAAGCCAGTGTGAACTTGTGTGAACTGTCTCTTTTGAGTGGGCAGGAAGCTGAAGCTTTGAGTTATGTACAGGTACAATCCCTTCCTGCGCATTACCATATGAATAGGTGCATGTTTTTCACAAGAGAGTAATTGTTATGGATGGCTATTTCTGGTAGATATTCCTGGTTTGAAATGAGTAGGAAGTATTATACTCTTATATACACCTTATGTCTCATCCCTTCCTACCCAGGCATTTCGACTGTTTATTATGCATAGTGTTAGGGTTTTTTTCTTATCACACTAAGCAGGAAGAGGGGAGGTGTTTTATGGATGTCCCCCCATGATGACTTTTCTAACTGCCTTTTTTCCTGTTCAGAGGCAACATTTCAGTCTGGGTCACTGAAGCGCCCTGGCTCCTCAAGGCAACTCCCCAGCAACCTTCGGATCCTACAGAATCCCCTGTCGTCTGGTTTTAACCCGGAGGGCATTTATGTATGACAGTACATACCTCTTCTGGAGAGGACCTAGCAAGGTACCCTGGACAAGATACACTTTATTTTATTCTGCCAATGATGAATGGAAGAAGTTTTTTCTTGTTTTGTTTTGGGTTTTTTGTTACGCCACCGTGTTTTTGTTTTTTTTTTTCTTCTTCCTCCAACACACCACTCGGAGCCATACCCTGTGCACTGATGCTAAAGAGACATGAGCTGTCTCGATTCCTAACTGGCAAGGATGACCTTGCTGTCAACACAGCTAGAGTGCAGAAACCTTCGTTGTTTTTGCCACTTCAGAAGTGTTTGGGAAAGTATTGTCGCTTGTATAGGCATAAATGGAAGACTGAGGGTGAAGGAAACCATGTATGCAACTTCCCTGAGGTTTAATTTATTCCCTTTAATCAATGGACCCGTGAATGTTGACCTTTTATATTTTTATTTTTAACTTGTGAATAATCACGTATGGCTGTGCGTCAGTCTGACAAGGTGACTTTAATTTGTGTGTGCAAACACCCCCAATTTGATCAAGTACAGCAACCTGCAATGCAGAGTTCTGTGGGGTGCTGAACCATTACAGTGGTTTCTCACCACTAACTTTGTTCATTTCTGTTGTGGGTCATAATATGTCATGTTCCATCCATTGCTACCTTTTAAGGCTTGAAAAGTGAGCTTGTGGGTTTTACTTGCTGTTGAATCTGCCTTTGAATGAAGCACCTAGTGTTCAAAAGATTTATGGATTTTAAACCTTGGCTTGGTAAAAATATTTCCAGCATATAACTGAGGATGCACTAGTTAGATGATATTTTATTATATAGAATGTATATTTGAAATATTTTGCCACATTGTATATGCCTTTTGAGAAAAGAACAATGTAAGAAGTTGTCTTCATATATCTTACCAAAAGAGAGTCGGAGGCTTTTCACTGTGTGTGATTTTGTACTTTATTTTTTTCCACTAGCCATTACAGTGTTCTTGTTTTGAGGTAAATCTTGCGTTGGAGGAGAAGAAAGACACAAAACAAATGGGCATCCTCTTCCAGCCTTCCAGAATTCACTCAAGTTTTGTGGAGGGAAGAAACCTGGCAGAGTCCCTTGAAGTCAATAGCAAAGCTTTCTCTGAAGTGAGGGGGACCAGGATTTCATTCGAGTTTAGCCCCTCTGAAAGACATGTTGCTGCTCAGTCACTTGCAGAATGTAAAGCTCACAAGCAGGAAATTCACACATTTGGTCGTCATTTTTTGCAAAACACGTGAAAAGAGAACACTTTTGTATCTTGGTGTTGCTCTAACGCAATCAAAGCTGAGCAAGGATTAAACAGAGTGGTTTCCCAGCAGAAAATTCAGACAATACCAGGTAATTTGTTGGTTATAGACCTTGATGTTAGATTGCTAAAGGGGACACCAGGTTTGTGGAGAAAGTGACTGCCATCAGTGGGACACTAAACATTGGAGGTTGCCCTCATGGATGAGTTAGAGAAGGGATGGGCCTTCCCTAGTTGTGTTTGGATTTTCTGTTCTAACAGCAGCTCATAGCACCATCCCCACCTTGGAGATCCCCTTGGCACGAGAGGGGGACATCATGCTCTCACTCAGTACTGAAGACGGGCTTAGTCAGTGGCAAAAGGACAGAGCTCCTGATGGCTTTAGTAGGGTCAGGATTTTACCACTAGTAGGAAACTCCAAGCTTTTTGCCACAGAAAAATACTTAATTCCTAGCATCCTCTTGTGTTGATTTACTGATGTGCAGATAAATGTTAATTTAAGTCTCCTTTTTAAAAAAAGGAGCTTCCTGACAATGGAAGTTTTAAAAGATATAGTAGAAGATGAAGGATTCTTGAGTGTTTATTGCATCTTTTTCCCTTTCCACTTATTAATGGCATCATATATTCTAAAAATGCTGCTGTATTTAGACTAACAGCAACAGATAAGGCTGTGAATATATAAAGGACCTTTCCAAATGGACTCTGAATTTTTACTGTTTAACTTATCATCAGGTCTTTTTTTTTTTTTTAATCTTCCATCTTCCCTTGTGAGCAAACTGGAAAATTATATGTTCCTACCTGAGGAATCTTTGCAGTGCTCACAGATTTTATTGTTAGTTTATCACAATTCTGTGCTCATGTTTACTGTGCCCGTAACTTTGTATTAAACAAAAAAGAAAGAATGTGTGTATATATATATATATATCTATATATTAAAAAAAAGTGTAAAATATACATAGTTTGGGGACAATATCTGTCCGAGGTACTTGAGCATATATGCCTTACATTCTGGGTTCAACTTACAGAAGTGAAATGGCCCTCTCCAGTGGATATCTTGCGTCTTCAGCACCTCTTGATGTTAGAGAACTGAGGCACTCAGCACCTTGCAAAGTCTGGCCCAAATTATGCTGCATGGGGGTGGGGGGAAACAGTCTTGTCCTGAGATGAAGTATTTTTAAGGCAGATCAGCATACTTACCCCAGCTAATGTTTCTGTCATACTTTGTGACCGGTCCATCTCCCACAGATGTCAGTTGGAGCTGAATTGGGCTCTTGCATCATAACAACTGCTCTCTTTCTCTGCCAAGTTATTCTTTAGGATGGAGGGAGGAAGAAAAGGATTAAAAGGAAGGGTAAGAGCAGCTTTGGAGGGCTTTATCTACGGCTTTGTAATAGAATCAAAGGAGAAATTTGCCATATAAGTTAAAAGAGTAGCACCTGCTGACTGCAGCAGCTGTTTGACAGAGGGGCCGGCCTGGAGCTGGCTCAGGAGTGGCCACTGCACCATCCCTGAGTGGACCCTCCCTGTCAGGGCTTTGGCACATGTCAAGGTGATCTGAAAAATGTTCACAGCTTCAGCCACTCTTGTGGCCAAGGAGAGGCTTTGGTATCCAGACCTGCCATTTGTGAGACACTTGACAAATTCCCCTGCCCCCACCATACTCCTCTTGCTTCTTGAATTTCACCCAGGCTGAAGTTCTGTAGCATTTTCACCCTCTCTGTAAATAAACCAAAAAGAAATGGCATGCCCTTGCATTAAATGTGAATTGAGCAGTGTGTAACAGTTAGAAAAATTCCTCACACTATGGCGTTTAGAATTTTGCTTCTGATCAACTGCAGAACCTCACTCTTTCTTTACAACTGTAGAAAAAATTCATTTTCAGAAATGTTCCAAACCTACTTAACAGGGCATTAGCAGAAAGGAAGCTACACATACTGATTTTAACAAGTGCCATATTATTTACTGGGCAGCATGATAAAAATGGGGTTTTTTGCTTGCGTTAAATAGTTGAACACACAAAGCACTATTTTCCAGTGCACGGGGAATTTATATGGAGAACTCCTGTAATTTATTACTAGTGGAAATTAACTGTGTTATCTCTCTCATCCATGAGGATACAGGTTATTTTTGCTGGAGATGCTATGTTGTTAGGGGAAAAGGGGGGGGTGACCATTTGAAAAGCCAGTAGGTTAAGGCTAAGGTGAACAATCCGAATGCCCGAGCAAGGAGAAACCCAAGTCCCACTCTGAAAAGTCAGCTAGGAACACGCCTCCCAGGATCTTTTAGTGGGACTTAGGTTCCCAAGTGCCTGAATTGCTTCTGGAAATGGTATGTTAGCTTTGAGATTACTTGCTTTTCTTGAACCCTTGCAAGTTGGGAGGAAGTTCTTGAAGAAAAGAACTACCCCTACTAGCATTAGCAATATGCAAATGTGTGAGGTAAGAGGGAAAAGATCCTTTAGTGAAATAAAAATCTCCTCTTGGGGCAGCAATTGCCTTGTTTTTAGCGTGAAGAGTATTGCATTATTTTAGTGAACTGGGATCATATGAGTATGATCCAAAAAAAAGAATTGATCCTGTAATTTTTAGCGAGTTACCTTGAAGCATATAAATTCCTGATGTGCATTAACTTGAGTGAATTGGGCCTTAATGATCCATGTAAATAACAAAACTGTATTCAGATATTTTTTTCAGAAAATAGTCTCTAATGGTCTGTACTGTATTAAAATAAGTGTCAAAGTGTTACTTTTATATTACACCTCTTTTTTTCTTTTTTTTTTTTTTAGAACATTGAAACGTGCATGTTTATTCTATTTGCTACAGTATTTTAATGTTTTGGATGAAGGCCATCGGTTGTATGGAGATGACAAAACAATAATTCTGTCTATTTATTCAGTATTGCTGCTTAAAGTTTTCAAAATAAAGCTTTCAATGCCAATATAGTGACTGATTGAAAGCTGTTCTAGCTCTCTTCAGGTGTTTTTTTCTATGTTTATAGAAAACTAAATAAGTGAAACTTGGTATATATAAGCTGTTATACCAGCAAAGAATTATTGCAATAATACTGGGGGGAGGTTGGGGGTATGTGTGTGTAGTATATACATAAATGTATGCATGCAGTGAATGCCTTTAGGTCTCAAGTAAATGGAGTGCTGAAGAATGTTAAATCCTCTGTGGTCCTGCAAGCACTTTACACGTGTGATCAAGCACTAGTTAGTGCTTCATGGTGCTTGTGAGGGCAGAACAAGGTGGTCACAAAGGATCAACTGAGAGCCCTTTGAACCAAAGGAGATTTAAGCACATTCTTGAGTGTTCTAGTTTCTGACTGGGGCCTAAAAACATGTTCTGATACAAAAGTCTTGCAGTTGCAGCAAGCATGCCTCAAGCATAGCTGGTACCTCTGAAAATTTTAGTAGTTCTGCCATGGATGGAGTGTGCCTGCTCTACTTGTAAAGGGTATCAGAATGCAGAGTGTTCACCCTCATGACCATCCTGTGAAACTACTAACTAGGGGTTCTGACTGGAAGATTTGGGTTGCTGGCGCTTTAACCTAGAGAAGCAACGCAAACTAACTGTGAAAACACGAGTGAGCGTTTTATTACTGCTCTGCTTCAATGCAAGATGAAAATCTGTATTATATGTAACTATATTTTTTGTCATTTAAAAAGCTTCTATTTTTTATTATTCTCATGAATGGTTGACAAAAAAAGATATTGGATATGCTCCCATACAATAAATTCCCCTCTGAAACCGTGGGTCTTTCCAGTTCGTGGTTTGCCGGAGTTGCACCGTTCATCTCGCGCACGTCTCACGGTACAGCTGCTGGGACTCTGTCAGAGAACACTGGGCCTGAAAGCAGGGCCAGGGTAAAGCTGGGTGTGTCTGCAGCTCAAACACCTTCAGAAAGGGCTGTGTGTCGAGCATTAGGACACTGAACAATCCTAAATGACAGCTTACTTGGTTGTGGGGTACACAGCTGGCTGGGTGTGGGGCCTCTGTGGCAGACAGGCTCTCTGCCATAAGTGTGCACGTGCTGTAATCTTAATCAGATAAAACCCAGGCACTACAAGAGAGCAGAGCAGCTTGTTTTGAGCTGAGGAACTGCTTCTAGGATTAATATTAACCCTGAACAGATAGAATTGGCCAGCGACTCGCAAGAAGTGTAACTTAAAGCAAAGGGGTAGAGGTTCGCTTGGAGGTGATCAGGGAAGTGAATGCTCAGAATCTTCACACAACAAATGCAGGGTGCCTTGATCCTTCAGGGAGCAGAAAGAAATTAAGCTTTGAAAAAGGAACTGCAGGCCTGATTCAGGTGTAGTTAATTGTGCTGAGGACCTGAGGGGGTGCGAAGATTGCTTGAGATCACTTGAGTTAATTGAGGCAGGGAACTTCCTACAGCTGGAGACTTGTGATTTAAGCCATCCAAATGCAGTCCTTAGTCTGATATCCCAACAAATGGATTTTCCTAAGCTAACTGGAGCCTAATCTCATTAGAGGTGAGGAGCAATGAGCTAACACTGTTGACTGGTGATAAGACAATGTCATGAACTCCACTGGAACCCCAGCACGTGGCACTCATGTTGTCAGGGCTGTGTAAGTTGTGGGGGCCCTCTGCTCCTGAAAGGTGCCCTTTTCTGCCCCTGTGCAAGTCAGCTGGCTGGGTTTTGTGGTACCTAAGGTTTCCCAGCGTGCTCAGCAGAGCCAGGGCTACAGCTGATGGTTCTGATCTTTTGCTTTGCCTTTAAAAAACAAAGTAGTGTATTTGTATGTGGCTGCTGCAGCACTAACTAGCTCAGTGTAACTGGGCTACTAATGATTGCAAAACCAGAGCAGATTAATGGTCCATTTTGTTCAGAAGCTGTGCTGAATTCTTCTGCCTGTCACATCTGTGTCAGCTAGGTGGCATTTCTTTATAATCCCAATTTTTAATGATTGTTTCAACTAAGATGTCTCGTGTCTGAAGTAGGGCACAATGAGCAACAGTCCCCATTACTGCCTTTATTGGAAATGACGTATTTGCTACCTTCGGTATTGTAGCTAGTGTTAATGACTATTTTCTAGGTCAGTCACTGCTTCATCATTAACTTTCTCCAGAAATATTGGAAGGAGGCAGTCTGAACTGGTCTATTCTGTTCCACTTTTCCAGGTAGGTATGCAATGTACTTTTTTCCATCCTTTGCAGTGAGCTCCCTGTTCCGTGTGCTGTCAGGTCAGCAAACTGCAGGGTTGATGTGTTAAACATGAGTGACTGTCCAGGAGTTGACTTGGAAAAAACCTCTTTGGCATGTGGCAGTGCGACAAGGAACTGATGCAAACAGGGATAATAAACTTAACTGAGCAACCTCACCACTCTTCTGATCAGCTTAGGCACTGCCAGTGTCCTTGTGTCACTTCTGGTGGGTCTGTCTGTGCTTCCTCTGGGCAGGAAACCTCCTTGTCATACAGACAGCCCTGGAGTTTCTCCTCTGTGAATGTGTATTTGCTCTGCACTGACTCCTGCCTAGGACAGACGTTCGTCACTTGTGCAAACTGAAGTTTCATTTCTGGAGGCTTTTCGGATCTGAATCCCTGGCTATGGAAAGGCTGCAGGGATCTCTGCTGTCTCTGGCGGTGAGAGAGTGTCATCACGGTACCATCACACTTCTGTTCAGTTATCTAGAAGCTGACAGAGGTAAAATACAGCTACACCAGACCGGGTTTTTGGCTGTGGGAGCTGGAGGTTTGATGTTTATCTCCAGTATTTGCAGTGCACTTAACTGCACAGGTTAAGTAAGTTTTGTTCCTGAAAAAGACAAGAATGATGCTACTGTTCAGGCTGTAGTTTTCCCTTTCTCTCCATCATTTTTGCATAAGCTATTTTGTGCTTGTTGTTTCAGCTACGCACTTTGTCTTGTTCTACCCCTCTGCAAAAGGAGGAAAGCAGTAAGTAATTGGAAGACTTAGTGAGAAAATGCAGTATAGAAGATCTAATATTCCATCCTGGGTCAAGTTGTAGGGAAGAAATGTTTTCTATTATTTCTTTTTAATGAACAAAAGTTTGGAGAAAAATATTCAGAAGAGCTCCAGCTGGACTTCCTCCACTTCCTCACAAAGGGGACTGACCTCTTCTCTCTGCTGACCAGTGACAGGACCCAAGGGAACAGCTGGAGCTGGGTCAGGGGTTTGGGCTGGATATTAGGAAAAGGTTCTTCCCCCACAGGGTAGCTGGGCATTGAACAGGCTCCCCAAGGCAGTGGGCACAGCCTCAAACCTGCCAGAGTTCAAGAAGCATTTGAACAATGCCCTCAGGCATATGGTGGGATTGTTGGCTGTCCTGTGCAGGGCCAGGAGTTGGATTCCATGATCCTTGTGGGTCCCTTCGAACTCAGGATATTCGTTCTACAATTCTGTAAAGGAAAGTCCACTTAAAAAAAACCTTATCCAATGCAACACAAATGAGTGCAAATAATTACCTGCCTAGGTATTTTAAAAAGGAGGGCTTCTGGTTAAAACAAAACAAGAAGGGGAGGGTGGTGGGAGGAGGGCAGTGAGATGTAGACCAAGTGAAACAGTGAAACGCCTTAAACCTCATTCATATTTACCCTGAAGTCCCTTTTACTACTTGTATGATGGACAGTGAATCATCCAGCTTTGAAGCTGGTGACATGGTATCACAGGGTACCATCAGGAGCTAATGCTAAAATGAAATTCAGGCCAGCCTTTAAATGGGGAATAACTGGAATTTCTCTGTGGTTGCCTATGGAGCTTCTCCTAAATTACTGCCTGTCACAACTTGCAATAGCATATCCCTTTTATCAGGTGTACCAAACTGCTGCTCATGGAATGTTATGTGCCCAGAAAAGATGATTTGGCTTTAGCAGTCACAATCAATCTGAGGTGAACTTTGGTCAGTGAGGTAGAACTGGCCCTTCTGGCAAGCTGAAGAGAAACCCGAGAGCACCAGGCGACCTTTAACTACACTTTGTTGCTACAAAGTTGTCTTAAGTGTTCCCTTGACCTGGCAAACGTGCAGCGGGATTGCCAAGACTATGACCTGGATTCTCCATTGTCGTGTGTCATGTAGCAAACAAGCACGGAGGAGACAGCGACACAGTACATGAGAAAGGCAACTCAGCTGCCCTGAGAGCTTTGCTGGAATGCAGGGCTCCTGATAAATTTGTCCCCTCGGCTGTGCCAGCGCTGCAGTTCCCAGCAGGCCCACACGAGAGAGCAGCGGCCACACAGCGCCACGAGAAGCAGGTTTTCTAGGAACACACAGCACGTGATAGAGAGTCGTGTGAGACACCCAACATTCTGTCCTTGAGTAGGTTCTTTCAGAAAGGACACAGTGGTACTCACAAAGAACCACGTCCCAGTCCCAGTGTGTGTGTGTAGCTGACACCCAAATGATGCAGTTCCTGCAGTTTCTGTGCAGGCCTGGAAGCTTTCGGAAACCTGCACAGATGTGGGTCGAAACATTCCATTTTAGAGATTATCCCTGGAATATTTACCTGTGCCTGGGAAGCTCTTGTTTCATTTCCCAGCTCTGCCACAGATCTCCTGTGTGTGACCTTGGGCAAGCTACTATAATCCCTCTGGATTGGAGTCCCCCAGCTGTAAGCTTGAGATAATACTGCCTCATCCCCTTTGACTTTGTCTATATATACAGAAGGCCCTGTGGGGAGCAGCATCTCGTTTCCTATTTGTTTGGCAAGTAGTCCTTAGAACAATGTGGTCCTGAACTTGGCTGTCCCATCCAGATACTGCTGCATGAAGTGTATTTTTATATCCTATCAAGAGGATGACAAGAAGTCACTCTGAATTAGTTTCACCTGGCAGGGAGAGGAAGATGCAGGCGTGCAGAGGGAAGCTGGGGGTTTCTGAAGGTGAATTTTTGTTTAGCTTTAAGTGGATTTCTTTTTCTAAACCGGTAAAAAGGAAAGGCAAGTAAAGAAATAAAACCTCATTTCAACTTTTTTTCAA